TCTCCTTCCTTCTCCACCTCTTTCCTTCCTCCCCCTTTTTCGTTCCCTCCCTCTTTCTCTTCTTTCTTCCTTTTCCACCTGTTTCCTTCCTCCCTTCTTTCTCTCTTTCCTTCTTCCCTTTCTCCTTCTTTCTTTATTCCTTTCTTTCTTGCTCTCCTTCCTTCCCTCCCTCTTTACTTCCTTCCCTTTTCTTCAGTAGCATCATTTAGCTTTCTGTCATTTAACTTTTTTGGACTTCATGTCCTTTCCACTCTTTTTTTTTTTTTTTGGGAGGGGGTTATGAGTGAGGGGTGAAGTGTCCAAATGTCATATCAATTCGTCCAGTGGTTTTTGAGTTATATTAATCCCACAAACAAACATGACATTTTTATTTATATAGATTTTAATATTTACAAAACCCCGTAAAGCGAGCGGCGAAGTGGCGAGGGAACACTGCACACCTTTTATATTGTAGGGCTGTGTGTGTCTAAAGCAGCAAAAGAATATTGAGGTTCCCTTGCCTTCGAAAACCCTGTGAAATTGATGGGGTGACCGTAAGTCGGCAGGGAGCTTGGGAGGCAGAGAGATACGTTACGGTAAGTCCCGGCAGGACACATGTATATGTGTGAAGAAAAACCTTGTTGTATTGTCGAAGGCTTTCATGGCTGGAATTACTAGGTTCTTGTGGGTTTTTTCGGGCTATAGAGCCATGTTCTAGAGGCATTCTCTCCTGACGTTTCGCCTGCATCTATGGCAAGCATCCTCAGAGGTGGTGAGGTCCGTTGGAATTAGGACAATGGGTTTATATATCTGTGGAATGACCAGGGTGGGACAAAGGACTCTTGTCTGTTGGAGGAAGGTGTGAATGGGTTCTTGTAGGTTTTTTTGGGCTGTATGGCCATGGTCTAGAGGCATTCTCTCCTGACGTTTCGCCTGCATCTATGGCAAGCATCCTCAGAGGGAGTGAGGTATGTTGGAAGTAGGGAAATGTGTTTATATATCTGTGGAATGTCCAGGGTGGGGCAAAGAGCTCTTCTCTGCTGAAGCTAGGTGTGAATGTTTCAACTGACCACCTTCATTAGCATTTGAAGGCCTGGCTGAGCCTGGGAAAATACGCTGTTGAGAGGTGTTAAGATGTGCCTGGTTGTTTCCTCTCTGCTGTTTTGCTGTTCTAATTTTAGAGTTTTTTAATACTGGCAGCCAGATTTTATTCATTTTCATGGTCTCTTCCTTCCTGTTGAAATTGTCCACATGCTTCTTGTGGATTTCAATGGCTTCTCTGTGTAGCCTGACATGGTGGTTGTGAGAGTGGTCCAGCATTTCTGTGTTCTCCAATAAGATGCTGTGTCCAGGCTGGTTCGTCGTGTGCTCTGCTCTGGCTGACTTCTCTGGTTGGAGTAGTCTGCACTGCCTTTCATGTTCCTTGATGCGTGTCTGGGCAATGCTGCTGCTGCGTTTGGGGGTCCCTCTGGAGACTTGTTGTTTGTAATTATCTGGTTCAGCTGACGAAGTAGGTCAAGCAGCAATCTTGTGCCACGCCCAAGGGGTAGAACTGTTGGAGTTTTTGAATACATTGTGGTGGGTGCTGAATGCCTGGTGGATGCTGGAGTTCTGGTGGGTTTTGGATTTTTAGTGGGTTGCTGCTGGAGTTCTGTTTCACCAGAGTGGCGTTCCAGCAGGAGATGCTGATGGTGGGATGGCTATTTCCTTCAGGTTGTTGTGATTTCCCATTTGCTGCTTAGAAGACGCTTCATTTTATGCATATTACAAAGTCTGTGTAAATATGTAGCACTGCTGTTTTTGTGTGCTGCATTGCCAGTTTTGTTTCATCTCTGCAAAGTTCAGAGAGTAAAGATTTTCTGTTTATCTTGTTAACTGTTTATCTTATTTAAACAGAGTCTGGATGGCCATCTGCCAGGGGTGATTTGAATGCAATATTCCTGCTTCTTGGCAGAATGGGGTTGGACTGGATGGTGGCCCTTGATTCTAGGATTCGATGGTGCTCCTGACAGGGAGCGGTCAACCCTCCTGTTCAAGGAGCTCCATTGGCTGCTGTTCATTTACCGGTCCCAATTCAAGGTGCAGGTTCTCACCTACAAAGCCCTGAACGGTTGGGGACCCACCTACCTTCGTGACCACATCTCTGTATACAAACCCACACGATCTCTTCGATCTTCTGGAGAGACCCTGCTTGCGCTCCTACCTGCATCGCAAGCGCGATTGGTGGGGACGAGGGAGAGGGCCTTTTCGGTGGTGGCCCCTCGACTCTGGAACTCACTCCCCAAGGACATCAGGCACGCCCCAATGCTGGCAGTCTTTAGGAGGAGCCTGAAAACGTGGTTGTTCCAGTGTGCCTTCCCAGAATAATGATCCCATAGCACTTTGTCCTCCAAAGCACTTTACATTGTTTTAGGTCTGCTTGTATGTTTCCACAAACCGCCCCGTCACTTTTTTAGCCCATGTCCAGCATTATTTTTAAATTTTAATTACATTTGGCCTACCCATAGATTTTAAAGTGTGTTGCTCTATCAATAATGCTTATGTTATTGTTTTATTGTCTTGTTTGATTTTAATTGCTTGTATTGTTGTTGTTGTTATTGCTTGTACTGTTGTATTGTGGGCTCCGCCTCTTGTAAGCCGCACCGAGTCCCCTGGGGAGATGGTAGCAGGGTATAAATAAATATTATTATTATTATTATTATTATTATTATTATTATTATGAAGACTGTGTAAATATGTTGCACTGCTGTTTTTGTGTGCTGCGTTGCCAGTTTTGTTTCATTTCTGCAAACTAAAGAGTGGAAAGATTTTCTGTTTATCTTGACTATTGGTCTGAGACTATTTTGCACCTGGGTTTCTGGGCATTAGGTTGCTGGAATAAAACACGTGCTGCGTAACAAGAGACACCAAAACAGATGAAAACCAACTAATTTTTGAAGCTTAGAAACCTCAGCAATGGCTCAGACTTGTGTTTATCTTTGAGATAAACACAAGTCTTCGAGTCCTTCACGGAGAAAGAGAGTAGTACATCGGGATTGTGGCGCAGCTGGCTGAGTGTCCGCTGCATTAAGATCGCTCTGACCAAAAAAGTTATGAGTTCGAAGCCAGCCCGGGTTGGAGTGGGTTTCCAACCAATTGTGTGTAGCCTGTTGTCAACCTTTGCAACCCGAAAGTTGCATCTGTCAAGTAGGAAAATAAGGTACCACCTTAAAGTGTGGAGAGGCTAAATTAACTGATTGATGAGGCCATAAAGAAGACTCCAGCAAAGCATTCCAGTGGGGAAGCATGCGGGGAATGCGGAAGTGCTTCATCAGCGTTGCAGATGGACGATAAAAGCGACAGCTCCCCTGGCGGCCAGAAAAAGTTAAATAGCCTCTGTGTATGTCTGTATATGTTTGTAGGTCAAAAATTGGCATTGAACGTTTATTTATTTATTTATTTATTGCAGTTGCTTTTACCCTGCCCTTCTCAACCCCCGAGGGGGGACTCAGGGCGGCTTACAAAAAAGGCACAATTCGATGCCTACATAGAATACATATACATATAAAACAACAATCAGCATTTATCACAATTAAACAGTTAACAATAACACAATCATTAAAAACTAATCACAAACTCAGCGTGCATTGTCCAGAGTTCCATAATTCCATTCCATTTGTCAATTCCATTCTATCACCACGTCCTTTTTCATCTGCCAGGTTGTCCGAATGCCTGGTCCCAAATCCATGTTTTCAATTTTTTCCTGAAGGAAAGGAGGGATGTCTCTGATCTAATTTCCCCCGGGAGTGAGTTCCACAGGTGGAGGCCACCACCAAGAAGGCCCTGTCCCTCATCCCCGCCAATCTCACTTGTGATAGAGGCGGGGTCGTGAGCAGGGCCTCCTCAGAAGATCTCAGACTCCGGGGTGGGACATAGCGGGAGATGCGTTCGGACAGATACGCTGGGCCGGAACCGTATAGGGTTTTGTAGGTCAAAACCAGCACTTTGAATTGTGCTCGGAATTGGATGGGCAGCCAGTGGAGCTGACATAACAGGGGGGTGGTATGCTCCCTGTATGACGCTCGTGTGAGCAGTCTGGCTGCCTCCCGCTGGACTAGTTGGAGTTTCTGAACAGTCTTCAAGGGCAACCCCACGTAGAGTGCGTTGCAGTAATCCAACCGGGATGTGACAAGAGTGTGGACCACCATGGCCAGATCTGACCTCCCAAGGTACGGGTGCAGCTGGCGCACAAGTTTTAGTTGTGCAAAAGCTCTCCCGGCCACCGCCGAGACCTGGGGTTCCAGGCTCAGCGACGAGTCCAGGATCATATATCCAGGCCATATATGTGTACACTGTAATCCGCCCTGAGTCCCCTGCGGGGTGAGAAGAAGGGCGGAATAGAAAAGCTGTAAATAAATAAATAATGGCATGCACAATGTCCATTGCCATGGTCAGTTCTAGATTTGGGGGCACCTGACGCGTGAAGCCATCGCGCCAGTTCCCTTCCTCTTATATGCAGATGATGCTGTGTTGTTGTCTTTGTCTCGTATCGGCCTGAAACGCTTAATTTACGTTGCTACTGGAATGAGACTGCATTTCTGATGCACTACTCTACTTGCGCGTCCCTCCGTCTCTGGAGCTGACCCTCTTGTCCTTTTCCGCCCTCTCCCGACAGACGCCCACCCTGCGAGAGAAGTCCATTCTGCTGGTGAAAATGATGACCTACATGGAGAAGCGCTTTCCGGAGGACCTTGAGCTGAACGCCCAGTTCTTAGACCTCGTGAACTACGTCTATAGGTAAACTAGCGGTCCCCTGCCACGTGTTGCTGTGGCCCAGTCTGGTGATATGGAAAATAAAGTAATTAGAAAGTGCTGTAATGTCTTTATACTTGTGGGTAAACAGTATTTCTTGATGTTTCTTTGTCAGTGTTGACGTAGAGAGTGCCTGGTTTGCCTACTCTGGAACCTGCAACATATCATTGTCCATCTTTAGGAGTCCCTTTCAAATCTATAATACTTTATCTGTGTGAATCATATCTATCTATCTATCTCTATGGCTGGATGGCTCTCTGTCAGGATGGTTTTGATTACGTTTTCTTGCCCTGGTGAAGTGAGTTGGACTGGATGGCCTTCAGTATTTTCTGTTGGTCATGCATAGGGGTTCTGTGTGGGAAGTTTGCCCCAATTCTGTCATTGGTGGGGTTCATTCAGAATAGTCTTTGATTGTAGGTGAACTATAAATCCCAGTAACTACAACTCCCAAATGCCAAGGTCTATTTCCCCCAAATTCTATCTGTGTTCATATTTGGTCATATGGGATATTCATGCCAAGTTTGGTCCAGATCCATCATTGTTTGAGTCCACAGTGTTCTCTGAATGTAGGTGAACTACAACTCCACAACTCAAGGTCAATGCCCACCAAACCCTTCCATGTTGGTCATGGGAGTCCTGTGTGCCAAGTTTGGTTCAATTCCATCGTTGGTGGAGTTCAGAATGCTCTTTGATTGTAGGTGAACTATAAATCCCAGCAACTGCAACTCCCAAATGACAAAATCATAATTTTTTTGAGTGATGGTCACTCCTTGTGTTGAGAGACGTTTTGTTGCCAAATTTGGTGTGATTTCGTACATTGGTTCTTTTGTTTTTAAGTCACTCATTACGACATGAGCATTTTTATATATATAGATTGCAGCAATTAATCACCTTCCTGGCTCGTAATGGGTGCCGTAGAGGAGGGACTCAGTGCTCGCCATCCATCTTTGGGAGCGAATCTAAGGGCGAGGGGGCGAAATCACAAGGTCTCTCCTCAGACCCAACTCCATCTCATTCATTCCCGTCACCCGTCCCATCGCAACACGTTTTCCGAAGAGTTATAACTGCCGGAATTATTCAGCCTGCGCCATAAATAATAATGGATTGCAGAACTTAACGTTTTACATTTTCTAATAGTTTGCTAAATTGGATTTTTTTTTTTTTGGTAATTGGTTAAATCCACTTCTTTGTTTGTCCTTAATGGAGTTCTTTAAAACTCCCTAATTGCTATTTCACAAATACTTGACTGGTTGGATTTCCATTCCTATCGCGTGTTGCAAAAATGTGCGGTGGTGCGCGCCTCGTGGAACGCCGTTCCCAATCACTAAATGTATTCTGTGCAATTTAATATGCATTTGATAGAAAGGCATTTTAATAGGTTTCTTGCATAGAAAGACATTTTGATTTTATTTTTGTGGATTTTTTTAGCATGTTTACATGTTTTAATTATTCTGCAACCCGCCTTGAGACATGATGTGAAGCGGGTCAGAAATAATACTATTATTATTATTATTATTAGTAGTAGTAGTATGTTGTTCATTCGTTCAGTCGTCTCTGACTCTTCGTGACCTCATGGACCAGCCCACGCCAGAGCTCCCTGTCGGCCGTCACCACCCCCAGCTCCTTCAAGGTCAATCCAGTTACTTCAAGGATGCCATCCATCCATCTTGCCCTTGGTCGGCCCCTCTTCCTTTTGCCTTCCATTTCTCCGACTCTTCGTGACCTCATGGACCAGCCCACACCAGAGCTCCCTGTCGGCCGTCACCACCCCTAGCTCCTTCAAGGTCAGTCCAGTCCGTTCAAGGATGCCATCCCTCCACCTTGCCCTTGGTCGGCCCCTCTTCCTTTTCCTTCCATTTTCCCAAGCATCATTGTCTTCTCTAGGTGAACTCATGGACCAGCCCACGCCAGAGCTCTCTGTCGGCCGTCCCCACCCCCAGCTCCTTCAAGGTCAGTTCAGTCACTTCAAGGATGCCATCTATCCATCTTGCCCTTGGTCGGCCCCTCTTCTACTACTACTACTACTAGTAGTAGTAGTATAGTATTGGAAAACTCAACCCTTTTGGTCAAATGCGGCCCTTCTTGGTTCTCAATTGGGCTGTTTGAATATAGTACCTTGTACCCATGTGTGTCCACGTTGTTTGGTGGCTTTTCCTGTTTTCTGTATGAGCTGGACGTTTGGGTCCCACGCTTTGGCTACATCCACGGAGCCCACAATATGTGGATGTGGCTCTGGCCAAAATAATACGTCCTCCAGCCTTGCCTTCCTGAAAAGTGCCAACTGTTGATACTAGGCCTGGGCCAACGTCAGTCCTCTCTGCAGGTGTTTTGGACTTCCGCTCCCACAACATGGGTATGAAGATGACCCCTTGATTGGCTGAAGTGTCCACTTCCAAGAGGACAAAGGCATGGGCCAACTTGGGCCCTCCCTCCAGGTGTTTTGTTACTTGTGAATATATTATATTATATTACATTTATTATATTTATTGTAGTATATTATATATATATGGCTGGAGTTACACTTAAAACATGTCCCTGTTCTGACTTACGTACAAATCCAACTTAAGAACAAACCTGCAGAACCTCTCTTGTTTGTTCCTTGTGGATATACTGTATTATATTATATTATATTGTATTATGTTATATTTATTGTAGTATATTATATATATGGCTGGAGTTACACTTAAAACATGTCCCTGTTCTGACTTACATACAAATTCAACATAAGCCTACAAAACCCATTTTGTTTGCAGCTTGGGAACATGCCTTTATGCATATATTATATTATATTATGTTGCATTGCATTATATTATATTATGTTATATTATATTATATTATAATTGCATTGCATTGCATTGCATTACATTGCATTACATTATATTAATTATATTATATTTTTGGCTGGGATTACAATTCGGAAATGTCCCTGTCCTGACTTACATACACATTCAGACCTACAGAACCCATCTTCACCACTTGGGGTGAAGGTCATTTTATGGCCAGTATTATTATTATTATTAATAATAATAATAATAATTATTAATAATAATAATTAATAATAATAATAATAATAATTATTATTTATAACCCTTTATGTCTTATTATTAATATTACTACTACTACTACTAATAATAATAATAATATTTATTTATAACCCACTTGATCCATCAGAAAGCACCAGTGCCCTTGCATCATGCAGGCAATTTCGAATTTTGGCATATTCCAGATTTCTTTGCAGCTTGGGAACTTGCCTTTATGCATATATTATATTGCATTGCATTTCATTGCATTGCATTAAATTTTTGGCTGGGATTACACTTCAGAAGTGTCCCTGTCCTGACTTACATACACATTCAGACCTACATACACATTCAGACCCATCTTCACCACTTGGGGTGAAGGTCATTTTATGGCCAGTATTATTATTATTAATAATAATAATAATAATAATAATAATAATAATAATAATAATAATAATAATAATTATTATTTATAACCCTTTATGTCTTATTATTAATATTACTAATAATAATAATAATAATATTTATTTATAACCTACTTGATCCATCAGAAAGCACTAGTGCCCTTGCATCATGCAGGCAATTTCGAATTTTGGCATATTCCAGATTTCTTTGCAGCTTGGGAACTTGCCTTTATGCATATATTATATTGCATTGCATTTCATTGCATTGCATTAAATTTTTGGCTGGGATTACACTTCAGAAGTGTCCCTGTCCTGACTTACATACACATTCAGACCTACATACACATTCAGACCCATCTTCACCACTTGGGGTGAAGGTCATTTTATGGCCAGTATTATTATTATTATAATAATAATAATAATAATAATAATAATTAATAATAATAATTAATAATAATAATAATAATAATTATTATTTATAACCCTTTATGTCTTATTATTAATATTACTAATAATAATAATAATAATATTTATTTATAACCTACTTGATCCATCAGAAAGCACTAGTGCCCTTGCATCATGCAGGCAATTTCGAATTTTGGCATATTCCAGATTTCTTTGCAGCTTGGGAACTTGCCTTTATGCATATATTATATTGCATTGCATTTCATTGCATTGCATTAAATTTTTGGCTGGGATTACACTTCAGAAGTGTCCCTGTCCTGACTTACATACACATTCAGACCTACATACACATTCAGACCCATCTTCACCACTTGGGGCGAAGGTCATTTTATGGCCAGTATTATTATTATTATTATTATTATTATTATTATTATTATTATTATTATTAATAATAATAATAATAATAATAATACTTATTTATAACCCCCTTGAATCATCAGAAAGCACCAGTGCCCTTGCATCATGCAGGCAATTTCGAATTTTGGAATATTCCAGATTTTGGAATTCTAGGCTAGCGACATTGAGCCCGGCTGTCCTTTGTCGTCTCTGTATCTTGAGAGCGGACATTGTCCTCCAAGTCTTCTCTGGCCCAGCGGTCTCTCTCTCAGTGGACGCCGGAGGTGGGACACCAGCCTGTTGGCTTGCCAAGCGCGTGCTTTTCCTCTTCCCGGGATCCCTTCTCTATCAAGCACACAAACCTATTTATTTGCCTTTCATTGAATGAGGCCGCTGATGTATTGTTTACTTGAGCTAAACAGGCTCCCTTCTCTCCAGGGCCAGGTACAAGCAAGGAAACAATTGCCCCAAAAATCACAATGCAAGAAATCCCAAGCATACTAAGGTTATTCCATGAAGCTTTCAGGCTAATAAGCTACGTTGAACTGACACTTTCACAGAGTTTCCAGGAGGCCTAAATACCTTTCTAACATCAAAACATTAGGCTCTCAGCATCATAAAAGCATTGCGATGACCTCACACTGAGCTGGCCTCCCGTCTGCTTGCCAGACGCGAACTCCACCTGACCCGGAGATCAAGGCGAGCTTCTCGGGTCAAATCCTTATCTGCACTTTCGGTATCAGCGTGGGACGGCACCTGCTCGCTATTCCCTTTGTTAACATTCCTTTCTGGTGAAAACAGCTGTGTTGACACTGCACTGTCTGCGAGAGCCTCAGAAGCAGGCTCAGAGATTTGAGGCACAGACAAAGGGCCAGGAAGCTGAAACCCAACAGGAATCTGAATCCCATCATCCTCATCGTCAGAAACTAGCTCAGCCGCAACACCCGGCCCAGAATTTCACATTATTAACTGTTATAATAATTATAATAATTATATTTATTGATACTCTGCTTTATCTCTCCCGAAGGGGACTCAACGCGACTTAACGTAAAAGCATCAACATAAAATTTAAATTATTATCATTATGTTACTGACACAAACACACAGTATGTCCCAGCAAACGAGATCTGTGTGCTAGATTTCGTATCACAACATCACAAGTCCAACACTTCCCAAGCGTGTGATGTATTTGTGTCAATATTTATTGCTTTCAAATGCCACCTGAGATCTTTTGGCATGGCACCCAGTGTGATGATTTTATTTTTATTTTTATTTATTTTTATATTTGTATTTATTTATATATATATATAGAGAGAGAGAGAGTTGTGGTTGTTGTTGTTACTATTATTGTTGTTGTTAGGAGCTCCTGATAGTGCAATGGGTTAAACCCTTGTGCCGGCAGCAGGACGGAAAACCAACAGGTCGGAAGTTCGAATCTGGGGAGTGTGGATGAGCTCCTTCTGTTAGCTCTAGCTCCCCATGCAAGGACATGAGAGAAGCTTCCCATAAAGATGGTAAAACATCAAAACATCTGGGAAACTTTCCCCGGGAAATGTCCTTGCAGACAGCCAATTTTCTCACACCAGAAGCAACTTGCAGTTTCTCAAGTCGCTCCTGACACAAAAAAAAGTATTACTATTACTCCTAGCAGCTAACATTAAAAGCATCGTAATGCAATTTAAAATATGTCAATGCTTTTATGTTAAGATGCTTAGAGTCTCTTTCGGGAGAGCTAAAGCAGGGTATAAGTAAATATAATAATAATAATAATAATAATAATAATAATAATAATAATAATCCCTGTCCAGTTTCTTCTCCTTCCCTCTTCCTATCTCCCGGAATGGTTGTTCCTCTGCTCTTTGTATTATTTTATTTGTTCGATCATAAAGACTGTCTGATTCAATTCCTTGTATTTCCCATTTACTCTGGCTTCTATAAGGCCTTTTCATTTCAACCCCTGATCTCCTTGGGATGTCCATTCATGTATTTAATTCTCCTTTCAGTGATGCAATCTGGAAGACTAACTGTCACTTGATCAATATGTCTTTCTTCACCCGACCTCCTCCTTCCTTGTCCCCAGTCGTTTCCCAGTTGTTGTTGTCAAAAGCTTTCTCTGCATCTTCTGAACTGTCATTTCACGTCGATGCTTTGCTTCCTTTGTAGGGACGAAAGCCTTTCCGGGAGCGAGCTGACGGCCAAGCTGGAGCCGGCCTTCCTCTCGGGCCTGCGCTGTGCTCAGCCTCTCATCCGGGCCAAGTTCTTCGAGGTCTTCGACAATTCCATGAAGCGCCGCGTTTACGAGCGCCTGCTTTACGTCACCTGCTCCCAAAACTGGGAGGCCATGGGAAACCATTTTTGGATCAAGCAGTGTATTGAGGTAGGACTACTATAGATATGTTTTACTCCAGCAATGTTACTCCCTGGTGATTTGGCATTGACTGGTCGGATCCGCAATCTTGAGATTGGCGGCATTGCATGACATGCAGTCGGAAAATGCGTGAAACTTTCAGAAGCGACGTGTGCGCTTTCACGGCATCTCAATGCATGCCAGATTCTCTTGTTTGTCTCATGTTCGTTGACAACCTCTGTCTATATATATATATATATATTCACAGTATCAGAGGCATCTGTGTTGAACAATGAAGGATAAATCAAGTTAATAAGGCGGAAGGTTAAGGCTTTCCAGGAACACAACGCGCTTCCTGATGGAAGATAAAACGACGCGCAGGCAATGCATCACCCGAAGCGCCTGCTGCCTGCGTGCCAAGCAGTTCCTTAAGCGCTCCTCAACCAGGGAACCCAATGAGGAACAATTACTATTATGCAGCCGCAACTCCGCCACCGCCTTCCTTTCCAAAACTGAAGCGCAAATGACCCTAGAGGAGGAGTTGTGAGGTAGAGCCAGGCGTTGGGAAAGCCCCCCACTTTTGGAAAGTTCCAATTCCAGGAAATAACTTACTTTCCACAAAGCAGAAGTGCGGTTGCAGTCGAGCAGCCACGGCTTTAGTATTGCAGCCCAAAGACCCAATTGGCTCAGGGGTCAAAGGTGCACAAAAGTGAAGGGGGGGGGCAGGGGCCACTTCCATATTGTCTCCTGTGCTATTCTCATAATAATAATATAATCTATATAAATAAAAACGTAATGTTAGTTTGTGGGATTACCAGAACTCAAAAACCACTGGACGAACTGACACCAAATTTGGGCACAAGACACCAATCAGGCCAGCGAGTGACCATCACTCATAAAAACACTGGAAAACACAGCGGAAGGGACTTAAAAAGCCAAAAAAAACATTACAACACATGTGCAAAACCACATATATACACAAATATATACACACACATATTTGCATGTATATACACACAAAACACATAGAATCATAGAATCCTAGAGTGGGAAGAGACCTCCTGGGCCATCATCCAGTCCAACCCCATTCTGCCAAGAAGCAGGAATATTGCATTCAAATCACCCCTGACAGATGGCCATCCAGCCTCTGTTTAAAAGCTTCCAAAGAAGGAGCCTCCACCACACTCCCTCCGGGGCAGAGAGTTCCACTGCTGAACGGCTCTCACAGTCAGGAAGTTCTTCCTCATGTTCAGATGGAATCTCCTCTCTTGTAGTTTGAAGCCATTGTTCCATTGCGTCCTAGTCTCCAGGGAAGCAGAAAACAAGCTTGCTCCCTCCTCCCTGTGGCTTCCTCTCACATATTTATACATGGCCATCATCATGTCTCCTCTCAGCCTTCTCTTCTTAACTGAACCATTGGGGGAACGGCATTCCTAGAGAGGTCATAAATCAAGTGTATAGAACAAATGGATGTTGTGCGTCGTACGTCCTAGGTCACTCTAGAATGCAGGAGGTGTGGACTAGTACTGATAACAGGCTGTTTGTGTGTTTGCCATGTTACGATCAGACAGTAATAGAAGCAGTTTACAATGTGCTGAGTGTTAAATAGCTTCTAATGTATATAACTGTAAAATAAAGTAGTTTATAGCCTGAAGTGGCTGTGATCGATCTGTTTGCTGCCTTGCTGTGCAGCCGATGCCACTGACAATCTCCTTTGATGTAGTCCAGGGCAGCAGAAAGGAAGCTTGCTCCCTCCTCCTCCCTGTGGCTTCCTCTCACATATTTATACATGGCCCTCATCATATCTCCTGCCTTCTCTTCTTCAGGCTAAACATGCCGAGCTCTTTAAGCTGCTCCTCATAGGGCTTGTTTGCCAGACCCTTGACCCTTTGAGTCACCCTCATCCTCTGGACACATTCCAGCTTAGAGTCAACCTCTCCCTTTGATTGTGGTGCCCAGAATGGGACGCAGTGGGATTACAGGTCAAAACCCAGAGGAGAAAAGAAGGAGGAAGGAAGGCCATGAAAAGCGGCTTTTGAGAGTTGAGCTTCTAGAGCATTTTGCTTGGGGAGGACGTGTCTTCCCAGTGGGAACGAGAAGAAGGTGGTAGAAGGGGCTCCCGGTGTTGGTCTTGAAAGCAAATAGGTCTAATAAGGTTATTATTACTTTGTCCAAAAATAAACAGCTTCTGTTGGCTGTGTGCGAGCGGAACACGACCATTGGGACCAGTTGCCAGGGCGCCATGCTCCCGTCCATCACCAACGTCATCAACCTTGCGGACAGCCACGACCGGGCCGCCTTCGCCATGGTGACCCACGTCAAGCAGGAGCCCCGAGAGAGAGAAAACAGCGAGTCCAAGGAAGAGGTAACAGTTTCTCATTGGCCCTCAAGATTGGCAGGGTCAGCGGGGTGAGCTCCTGCTGTTAGCCCCAGCTCCTGTCAACCTAGTAGTTTGAAAACATGCAAATGTGAGTAGATCAATAGGTAGCGCTCTGGCGGGAAGGTAACGGCGCTCCATGCAGTCATGCTGGCCTCATGACCTTGGAGGTGTCTATGGACAACGCCGGCTCTCAGTCCCAGAGTTGGACACGACTGGACTTAACGTCGGGGAAAACCTTTACCTACCTTTACTATGTGCTCTGAGCCTCTTTTCTGGAGAGGAAAAGCAGGGTATAAATAAATATAAACATAAACATAATAATAATAATAATAATAATAATAATAATATATTAATAGATACATAGTCATTTGGAGGCTTCTTGAGCAAACAAGTGGGGTATATATAAATATAAACATAATAATAATAATACATGCTAATACTAATAGATACATAACTGCTTTGAGTCTAAATAGACATAATAATAATAATAATAATAATAATAATAATAATAATAATAATGTAATATTAATAGATACATAGTCATTTGGAGGCTTCTTGAGCAAACAAGTGGGGTATATATAAATATAAACATAATAATACATTCTAATACTAATAATAGATACATAGCTGCTTTGAGTCTAAATAGACATAATAATAATAATAATAATAATAATAATAATAATAATAATAACAACAACAATAATGTAATATATAGATGCATAGTCATTTGGAGGCTTCTTGAGCAAACAAGTGGGGTATATATAAATATAAACATAATAATATTAATACATTCTAATACTTATAATAGATGCATAACTGCTTTGAGTCTAAATAAACATAATAACAATAATAATAATAATAATATGTAATATTAATAGATACATAGTCATTTGGAGGCTTCTTGAGCAAACAAGTGGGGTATATATAAATATAAACATAATAATTATAATACATTCTAATACTAATAATAGATGCATAGCTGCTTTGAGTCTAAATAAACATAATAATAATAATAATAATATGTAATATTAATAGATACATAGTCATTTGGAGGCTTCTTAAGCAAACAAGTGGGGTATATATAAATATAAACATAATAATAAAACATTCTAATACTAATAATAGATACATAGCTGCTTTGAGTCTAAATAAACACATAATAATAATAATGTAATATTAATAGATACATAGTCATTTGGAGGCTTCTTGAGCAAAACAAGTGGGGTATATAAAAATATAAACATAATAATAATAATACATTCTAATACTAAGAATAGATGCATAGCTGCTTTGAGTCTAAATAAACATAATAATATTACTAATAACGATGATAATAATAATGATACCAACATTGAGAAAGCCTTGCCCTATAATCTACATAGCAGAGCTTCCTCTAATTATGAGGTTTCCATCTTCCTCAGTCAGTATATATAGGTCAGGGATGATGGGAGTTGTGTTCTAATGATGGAGAATCCAAGGTTGGGAAGCACTGCCTCAGACCAGAAGGTCCCAACCTGAGGACTCCACCTGCCACATGGATAATGCTCCTCAACATTTTAGGTGCTGTAGGTATACCGAAAGGCATAACGACGCTCCATGCAGTCATGCCGGCCACATGACCTTGGAGGTGTCTACGGACAACACTGGCTCTTCAGCTTAGAAATGGTGATGAGCACCACACCCCAGAGTCAGACATGACTGGACTTAATGTCAGGGGACTACCTTTACCTTTACCTAAAGGCATGCTATACCTTGTGGGTGCTTTGCGAACCCTTGTGTTGCTTCTCTCCTCTCCTCCGAAGGACGTGGAGATCGACATAGAGCTGGCTCCGGGGGACCAGGCCAGCACCCCCAAGACCAAGGAGCTTTCCGAAAAGGACATCGGCAACCAGCTGCACATGCTGACCAACCGGCACGACAAATTCCTGGACTCCCTCCGAGAAGTGAAGGTGGGTTATGGCTTCCTAAGGTTTTTTTTGGCAACATCTATTCAGAGGAGATTTGTATGTAGTTTTCCTTGAGTCTGAGAGAGTGTGACGTGCACAAGAGTCAATGAGAAGCAACATTCCTCAAATGGAGGTTCCATCTTCTGAAGCAGCATTTCTGTATACGAACCCACACAACCTCTCCGATCATCTGGAGAGGCCCTGCTCACGCTCCCACCTCTATCGCAAGCGCAGTTGGTGGGGACGAGGGACAGGGCCTTCTCAGTGGTGGCCCTCGACTCTGGAACTCACTCCCCAAGGACATCAGGCATGCCCCAACTCTGGCAGTCTTTAGGACCATGATGGTGAACCTATGACATGCGTGTCAGCACTGACACGCATGGCTATTTTTGATGACACGCGGCCACATGCGGCTGCATACAGAGAAGTACACCTTATAAGAGCCAATCTAATTCCATCCTTATCTACAAATTTAACATCTGCACGTTGGAGCATTGTTCACTCCATAACTCAGCATAGAATGTACATTTTTTCTTACTTAAACTATAAATATTGCAAAATTATGTTTGTTTTTTTCCCTCAAAGTTGGCACCCCACCCAAGTTATGCTCAGGTTTTTAGCAAATTTTGGCACACCAAGCTCAAAAGATTGCCCATCACTGCTTTAGGAAGAGCTTGAAGACATGGTTGTTCCAGTGTGCCTTCCCAGAATAAGGAAACTCCCAGCAATATGTCCCTAAATGCACTTTATCAATGATCTAGGATTGTCTGCACACCCCTTTCCTCTCCGAAATTCTATCCTAGTTATATATTTCACCTGGCCATGCTCTGCGCCTGTGACACGTGGACTGTCTACAGAAGTCACATGCAACTCCTGGAACGATTCCATCAGCGCTGCCTCCGGAAAATCCTGCAAATCTCTTGGGAAGACAAGCGGGGAAATGTCAGAGTGCTGGAAGAAGCAAAGACCACCAGCATTGAAGCAATGGTCCTCCGCCATCAACTTCGCTGGATTGTCCATGTTGTCTGGATGCCTGACCACCGTCTCCCAAAGTAGTTGCTCTACTCTGAACTCAAGAACAGAAAATGGAACGTTGGTGGACAGGAAAAGAGATTGAAAGACGGGCTCAAAGCCAACCTTAAAAACTCTGGCATGGACATTGAGAATTGGGAAGCCCTCCAGTTGGAGGTCCGCTGTGACCAGCAGTGCTGCAGAATTTGAAGAGGCACGAGTGGAGGGTGAAAGAGAGAAACGTGCCAAGAGGAAGGTGCATCAAGCCAACCCCGACCGGGACCACCTTCTATCTGGAAACCAATGCCCTCACTCCGGAAGAAGATGCAGGCCAAGAATAGGGCTCCACAGCCACATACGGACCCACAAGAACACTGGAAGACAATCCTCCTCGGAAGACGAGGGATTGCCTAAGTAAGAAGTAAAGTAAAGTGTAGATAAGGTCAGATGCTGGCAGTTGGACTCTGATGATAGATGGAGTTGAAGCATGTGTTTGCCGTGAAAGGACTCTGTTGTATTTTGCTTGCTCCTGGGACACTTGCTATCCAAAATTCAGTGGTTCAGTGACGTCGCAATTTGGAAAACGACAAACCACTTTACGTCCCTGCACATCCTGTGACGTTGTCTTGGCTCAGCAGTAAGATGACCATATTATGTGACTCCACTTTATTTGAATCTCAGACACATTTTGCATTTTGGAGAGCTGATTTAACCAAAGAAGGCGAGCGATAGATGTGAGTGAATGGGATGGTATTCCGGGTGCCTAACCGGGTTCCTTCCTTCCTTCCTTCCTTCCTTCCTTCCTTCCTTCCTTCCTTCCTTTGCAGACGGGTGCGCTGCTGAGTGCCTTTGTGCAGCTGTGCCACATCTCCACCCCGCTAGCCGAGAAGACCTGGATCCAGCTGTTCTCCAGGCTGTGGAAGATCTTGTCCGATAGGCAGCAGCATGTAAGTGTGGGATCTTTGTAAACAACACACAAAACAAAACAACAACACCAAAGGATCAAGTCCAATTGGCTGCTCTCTAAGAATATACAGCTCAAGCATTATTAAGCAAGACCCCTCCAAACTCTCTTTAAAGGTCTCAAAAGAAAGTGAGTCCACTACCCTCCAAAGTCCATTTTGGAGGCTACTGGACATAACAATATTGATCATATTGAGCAGCGACATAACAATATTGCCTTGTGTTGGAACTTGTGAAGCAACAAGTTTTAATAAGGAAACTGAGAAGAGGGGGAGATGGGCAAGAAAGGTGTATAAAAGGAAGTGGTGGGGGAAAAAAGCCAGTACTTTCTTTCTTTGCTGCAGAGATACAAGCAATATATCAATTTCAAAGCAAAACCGGTTTGTGAGTGATCATTTAATATTGCTATAGAAAACCTACAGTCTTACAGTGGCTCAATAAGGAGGATGAAAGAATCCATCTCTCTCTCTCCCGTGTGACTCAGTCTGAGTATCTACCTGTGTTGTATGTGACTATCTGATGACTAGTTTGCATCAGCCATTGTCATTGCCAAGGGGTTGCATCAGCCAGTGTCGCTTACTGATGACCTGTCAGCAGGTGGCTGTCAGGAGTCAATTTCTGACGGCCTGAAGACATCACAAATTCCCTCCGTGACATCCTGACTGAGCCATCCTGGCTGAATCAATTCTCTCTCTGTGGCATTTTGAGGGYGCTGGAAACCTTGTATTTTGAACTTGTGAAGCAACAAGCTCTAATAAGGAAACTACGAAGAGAGGGAGATGGGCAGGAAAGGTGTCTAAAAGGAAGTGGTGGTGGGAAAAAGTCAGTAGTGTCTTTCTTTGCTGCAGAGATACAAGCAATATATYMATTTCMAAGCAAAACCGGCTTGTGAGTGATCATTTAATATTGCTATAGAAAACCTACAGTCTTACAGTGGCTCAATAAGGAGG